CTAGACCAATTCATTATTGTCTTCATCGACGATATTCTTATTTATTCCAAGAGCCAAAAGGAGCACGAGGAGCACCTGAGGGCCGTTCTTTCGACCCTTAGATGTGAGAAGTTATATGCAAAGTTCTCCAAGTGCGAATTTTGGCTTCAGCGAGTGGCTTTTCTTGGCCACATTATCACTCAAGCAGGTATTGAAGTTGATCCTTCCAAAATTGCTGCAGTTCAGAATTGGCCAGCACCAAAGAATCCGTCCGAGGTTCGTAGTTTCCTCAGCATTGCAGGTTATTATCGCAGATTTATTGAAGGGTTCTCGAAGATTGCCCTTTCTTTGTCTCAGCTGACGAGGAAGTCTGTAAAGTGCGAATGGACAGACCGTTGTGAGTCGAGTTTTCAGGAGCTGAAAAGGAGGCTTACGACGGCACCGGTGTTGACTATTCCAGATCCTTCTCGGAGCTTCACCATCTATAGTGATGCTTCGAGGCAGGGTTTGTGATGTGTACTTATGCAAGATGGCCAAGTCGTTGCTTATGCTTCACGCCAGCTTAAACCACATGAACAAAACTATCCGACGCACGACTTGGAATTAGTTGTAGTTGTTCATGCCCTTAAGATTTGGCGACACTACCTATACGGCGGTCGATGCGAAATTTTTACCGATCATAAGAGCTTACAGTATATCTTTACTCAGAAGGAGCTCAACATGAGACAGCGTCGTTGGTTAGAGCTCGTCAAGGATTATGATTGTACGATTCAGTATCATTCGGGAAAGGCGAATGTTGTTGCTGATGCCCTAAGCCGTAAGGTAAAGGGTGACTTGACATATGTTGTTACTCAGCAAAGTCAGTTGATTCAGGAGTTCGCCCGGATGCAGATTCAGGTGATTGATGCACTTCCTACAGTCAGTACGGGGAGTGTGAGTTCTATGCAGGTTCAGCCGACGCTGAGGGAGAGAATCCGGCAAGAGCAAGCTTCAGATGAGTTTATTCATGCAATTGATGTAATATCCCGATATTTTATCGGTATAAATTATGTTTTAATTCCGATATAATAATATTATCGTTTATTATTTTCGGAATTAATTATGTTCAGTCGGAATTACCGAAATCGATTTTCGACGTACCGTTTACGTCCGAAATAATTTTTGTAATTAAGCATTATGTTTAATTAATAATTAAACATAAAGTTTAGTGATTAATTGTTGATTAATCATCATTAATCTCTATAAGCCGTGAGTTAAGTAAATTAGCCCTAAGTTATTCTAAGGCCGTGACTTAAGAAGCATTTTTTTTTCAAATATTTTTACCTAAGGCCGAAGGTTCTTTTATGTTTAAGGAGATGAATTTTCCTCCTCACTTTAGCAAGAGACGTGGCAGGTTTTTGAGTGTATGAGTCATCCCCAAACTCCTCAAATTAGTCACCAAATGTTAAGACCATAAGAAGGCCACGTCCTTATTTCGTAGCCATCAACCCCTCTCGGCCATCTATATAAGCTTGGGAAGATTAGAAATTTTTCCCACCTTTCACTATAGTAAGTTCAGCAACATATCCTCCTTAAGCCACCTTTATATTCAGCAACCTAATTAAGCAAATTCTCCCAAATTTTCCATCGCAAATCGCACGGCAAAGCTTGAATCATCGCACGGCGCACGCGAGGTGAAGAGATCACGTGTATTTCTCCGATTTCCGTTGAACGAACTAAGAGGTAACCTACTCCTCAATTCATG